GAATTTCTTTGATAAATATTTTAAAGTTTAGCCTTTAACATTTAACTAAAGTATGGAGTGGCATATGTGAGGAAATGAGTGCCTACGAGGAAGACCGAACAGCGCTGAAAAATAGACGGCTATTGACGAAGGTCGCTAACTCTTTCCATTGAGATAGACAAAGAAATAGTGATACCAAGTGATACAGACATAAATGAAGGGGTTTTAAAGGAGGCTTAAATTAAATGGTGAAGAAAAGCTAAAGAAGAAGATAGAGACGTTGAACTAACTATTAAATTCGTCGGAAAAGGAGGGTAGCAATCTCTATTTCAAGCTAGCTATAAAGACCGATTGATTTAGAAAATCATTAAAGATGATGAGTGACGGCAGGGGCTGACGGCCTCGCAGGAAAGTTGCGTGAAACAACCACCTTTGTGTTTTCGGTGTGTGTGAGATTACCTACGGGAGAACCAATCTTTCCCCCCCTTCTAACGTCGGCAATGCACTTGTAAATACTATAGAGTTACCTATGTTCGTGTATAGACACTCGTGTGTAACACGTTCCTTACAGCTATCAAACCGCTGCAGCACCAACGGCAAGAGCGATAGGTCTATTGAACTCGATGATAGCTCAATACCCAGAATTAGATGTGTTTGACGATAAGTCGTATGACATACCTACCTTTTTTTTTGTGGACGGGGGAAACCTTTAAAAGGCGCCCAGCCTTTTTGGGGATAAAACACTAGGGAGTGTGGGATTTTTACCTCACTCAGACCACCCCGGTGGCCACCCTCAACACCTGAATGGAGGCACCGGGTCCTCTAAAAGAGACCTGCTCCGGAGCCTCGACCCTATGACATACCTACATAAATTAAAGTTTTTAAGTAGTACCTATCTAAGTACATAATTAATATTGTAATAGGTTATCCTGGAATGTAAGTATTTTGGCACTCGCTGCAAACTTTCATTTTAATTTCTATAAATAAATAAATAAACCAGTTGAGTCTACTCGTTTGACGCTGTTTATCTCATTGAAAATGTATCTAGATCTTGTGATTGTAAATCTTGTACCTAATTTCATTTTGGCGATATCCATATCAACCCGCGTCTGCTGTATTATGAAATGACCTTTAATTCTACGTATAAGAACGAGCTTAACTAAAATCGCGGGTTACTCACGTGAATATACTGAGAAACAATGAGCTGCGCGACGTCGCCGCGACCGCGCACGCTGCTCATAAGGAAGAACCCCTCTGTGGTTCGAAACTAGTAGAGCTTTTCTCAGTATAATCACGTGAGTAACCCACGATTTTAGTTAATTTAGCATGTCTCACGATAGTTATTATAAAAACAAGAACGAACTTGCTGCCGGTGTTGAAGAAGCCGAATAAAAGGATATCATAATGCTGGTGTCTATCATGTGATAAAGGATATCATTACCACGATGCAGACACCGGCAGAACAAGAAAGGGTGGTGACAAAAGTTTTCTACTCTACCTCACAGCATTACCAGCCATATAAGAATACGAAGAAACACCATAATGTTATTCCAGGCCTTTGCCCGGCTTGTTTCACGCAAGGCTTAAATTGTGAGTCCTACTAGGCTATTCTGTAACTGTCATTTCGTACTTTCGAAGTGAGGTGATAATTTAATTTCCAACTTCCCAGTAGTGTGACTAGTCATTTAGGGAAGGGCATCGAATGACTTAGGTACTGTTATATCGGAATAACTATTACTTAAAATATAAATTAAAACTGCTGAGTTTCCAATCGCATTGACGTCAATGCAATAGGAAACCGTTGCAGTTATCGTAAGCTATTATAATTGTTTCTCAAGTAGATTGGATTGGACTTCCGTCGGGCATAATAACCTGTAATACCTACGTGTAATTTATTCAATATATCTCTTTTAGCGTATTAAATAGTTTATTTAAAAACCATCTTCAGACCCGCTCCGTAACAGTAATATTTCCAAATTTTCCCAATGAATCCAAATTTTATAAGAATCTCGCCTTCTCCTGATAAAAAACGAACATCAAAGAAATATGTAGCGAAATAGGCAGTTAGGCATAGCCGTTCATGCGGGATGTCGTGAACAACGGTTGCCGTCGGCGGATGGTTGGATCACCAATTCACCAGTGTCATTGTTGTTGTTCTTCGTTTGTCAGGTATACCTAAGTATAGAAGTTATTTATGCGAGTGAACTATTGCGATTTTATACCTTAACCACTTAGGTACTAATTTTTGTTTTGTTATAATGAATTGTGACTAATATTCTGTGCATATTTCAAAAGTTTGCCTGTTGGCTATCAGTGGGTGGGTAACCTATCAGTACTAATCTTAGTTATTTTTTGCTTTTTAGTTTTTACTTTTTGTTTGTTTGTTATTAGTTTTTGGTTTTTTTAAGTCGTTTTTTAAACGCAGTTTTTATTTTTTTATTTTATCATTTTTAGTATAAAGCTATATAGATCCGTTTTGCCAGTTATAATCCACATAGGTACAAAGTTCTAATCAATACAAATTTATCAAGCCCAAACACAAGGGAGTTACAGTATACCGTTGAGGAGTTCCCTTAACAGTTACACTTCTTTATCATCAGTCCCTTGATGGCAGTTCCACTCCATTTAGGTGTAAGGTTCTCATTAATAAAAAATAATCAAGCCGAAACACAAGATAGTTAATATAAACCATTGAGGAGTTCCCTCGACTGTCTGTCGGCTCCATCATCAGGTCGACTCCAGACCCTTATCAAATTGTACTGTTTAAAAATCCTAATTGAAAAACATAATAGACGCATTACTTGCCCCTACAATTTTCGAAAGTTTCCCTCGGTTTCCCTAGGATTCCATCATCAGATCCTAACTTCATGGAAATGAGACCATCTCGAGAGTATACCCTTTCAAACAAAATAAAAATTTTGGAAATCGGTTCACAAATTGCGGAGTAATCGGAGAACAAACAAACAATGAGCCGAACATAGTGCCTCCTCCTTTTTTTGAAGTCGGCAAAAATCCAATCATCAGGGACATAATGACAGGATATGAAAATTAAAAATCTAATTAGTCCGTAAGTTAGGTAATAAAAAATTATAAACACGTATTTTTTATTTTGTCGTATAAAAAAACAATACTTAATCTAAGTTTAGGAGTGGGGGCTAAAACGTCATTTCTACGTATAAAATGTACATAGAAGTGACGTCACGCGACATTTCAAATCAATATATCGTCGGAAGTATTCGTTTCTGTAAGAAAATAAAAAATACGTATCTAATGATTTAAAATAATCTACCAGACGGACATTAAAATAATAATTAGGCATCTACCCTATAATATCCATTCCAATCCAACCTCAAATCTCTGGCCTAAAATGCAATGCACTTCTTAACTCCTCTGGTATCGCTGGTGACCATGGGTAGCGCTGATATTTATATATTTGCTAGATGGTCCATCTGCGCGGTTGCTTTATTTGTAACGTGATGGAAATCCTCATGGACTTCTGTCATACCTCATAATACAAATATAGTTAATTTTTTAAATCGTTATTTCCATCTATGAGGTTAGGTACCTACTCAAAAAGCACAAATAAGTCGAAGCATTTATTTCAATTAAACCATAATTCGGTCATTTTGATACGTCAACAAAATACAAAAATAAATAATATTTAAGTGTGGGAGAGCCATGTTTCGACACGAATGGGCCGGCTCGACCGGATTGATACCACGGCCTCACTGAAAACTGACGTGTTGCTTCACTTGCGTTGTGTTTCGTCGTGTGAGTGGGGTTACTGGAGGCCCAATTACCCTCCCCTTCCCCAATCTCCCCAATCCCTAAATCCTCAACGATCCTCAAACTCCTAATCCCAAAAAGGCCGGTAACGCACTTGTAACGCCTCTGGTGTTCCAGTTGTCCATGGGCGACGCCAATTGCTTACCATCATGTGATCCGTCTGATCATTTACCGGCTTATGCCATAAAAAAAAATATTTTGTCAGTTTGTCCGTCAGTGAAGCTAGGTGGTCATTCCAAAATGTAGATTCGAATGGAGAAGAACGAGCAAGAAACTCCATTCGTCACTCTTTTAAATAACGTGGATTGAGGCGAATTGAATATTCACTTACATTTTTATAAAAAAATCGTAGTTTTTTAATTAATTAATTAAATAATTATTCAATTCCTTCCTTATTCAATTCCTTCCTTCCTTATTCAATTAAGCGAATCTGTAGATAATAAATTATTTAGTTAGATATCTACCTGTTGACTATTTCCGCTTACTTTAATTTATAAAGTAGTACCGTCATTATAGACACAATTAAAGAACAATAGGTTGCGGTCGCCGGTGACCGCGCGGTGTTTGACAGTTTAACTCAAAACGTCAATTGCATTACATCTTCGCAAATATAGCTAGATGCTGTTAGCGGTGGGTTTCATTCATCGTTTTTGTTTTTCAAAAATATCGTGCCTATAGTTTTAATTGATATGATTGTTAATGCACCAAGACGTGAGAAAGGTGCAATTGATATCACCTTTTTAGTATAGTAATTTGGAAGTTGGAAATATAAAAAAAACATAACTAATTAGATTAATTTAAACACTACCTTAACCTACACCGTAAAATCTATTTCGTTTTCTATAAAGCAACTGTAATTTTAATTGTGTTCATTTGTCAATTATGAACACAATTAAAATTAGTTATTGTTTTTAACCGAATCCAAAAAGAGGGTGTTTACAAGTCGACTGTATTTTTTTAAATTAATATTTTTGTTTATTTATTTTATTTAATATTCTTTACAGGTTATGGTTATGGAAGAACCATATAAAAACTGGCAGTAGTCAGTTTTATTATATTAAGTTCTAAAAATTAATTTTGATAGAAAAATCTACACTTTTAGAAGAATATTTATTTCAAATCAAAGAAAATATTCCTTGGTTGATTTTTTCGTTTTTATCTATCAGACATCAGAAAATGTATAGAAAGACTAGAATATGTTTGGTAGGTATAGTTTCAAACTAAAAAATGTTTACCTGATTGCGAATAATCAGTAGATTTCATATCAAGAAACTCCTGCGCATCGCCAACGGTCGAGCTCTCAACGTCAACATTTTCCGAGCTGTCGCTACTGACTCGATCATCATCATCAGAATCGATATTTTCCGGCACATCACTCACGTAATTACTTTTCAAATCACTTGTCACACCACTAGTAGACGCATTAGCATTGTCCGAAAATTCGTTAAAACACTGTCTTTCGAATTTATCCGCTAATAAATTTTCTATAGAAAACGGCAATTTGTTTTCCGATTTTTCGGTCTTTATTTCGTCAACCTCCATCGTGGAGTCCGTGGGATCCATATTTTCTTTTTTTAAACGTGTGTTCGTCACAGAATTTAAGGATATTTTGAATTTAATTCCAACGGTTCGACTATACAGGGTGTGTCCCGCACAGGGCCATAATTTAAACTAATAAGAAACTTTCACGATGCGTTTTTGTCAATTCGTCCGCTGAAACGTCTGCGAGCGGAATGTTAACTACCTCTTTTGAAAAACATAATCGTATCTCAACGTTTTCTGCTGTCTGTAACCTTTATTCTAATAGCACTAAGGTTGAAGTTGGTTTAATTATCAAATTAGTTATATCTGGCAGTGGTGCTACTGATGGGAATGAAGATTGAGAGCCTTTACTAATGGGCGTCTTTCTGGATGACAGTATTTTAGTAACTGCCACAATGAAATCTCAACTTTAAAAGCGTGAAATAAAGCTTATAATTAGTTGAAGATAGTTAAACGATGCAAATAGCTCATGAAGAGTCCCGAAGTTATAATTAGAGTTGGACCAATCGGCGTTAAGGGGCGTGGTTATGGTCTGAAATGTTGCGCTCGCGCACTCCTTGTACATCAAACGGCAGATTTATTTAAGGAGTTACGCTGATATATGTGGGGAGTCATTAATTCTGATAATTATTTAGTTAGTTCATTTAATTGGAGTAGTCAGATGGTCGGTTATAGAACGGTGCTCTCTATTGATTTATTGTTCTCGTTCCCTGTCGCGATGGTTTTCATTATAATTGCTTAATTCTGTTTGTAATTAGTTTTGAATTTCTTAATTATTTCTAAGCATGACTTTTGGTTAATTTGGAAATTAATGTTCAAGGAAAGACTACGTAGAAGACTTTGAAATTATAGGTTAATATGTGGTGGAAAGACATTCTTCAACAGGAATGGGCCGGGGGCCCGCTAGACGGGATTTATACCACGCCGTGTAAGTGAGCGATCACTTACACTTACTAATCCTTAAGCTAAGCCCCTAACCCCCATAAGGCTAGCGACGCATTTCTTGCGAATATCAAAGAGCTGGGCGCCGATTGCTTTTCATCTGGTGATCCATCTGCCGCTACAAAAGGTATTTTTCATCGATTCCATTCATGGATTCCTTTTACTCGGGCGATACTACAAGACTTCTAGACTCCGGGAATGTGGCGGAGAACCTAACGGGTTACCGGGGCTCCGGCTCGACGTTCAGTAGAAGGAACGTGGTGGTTTTTAGTCAGTAAGAGTCTGACACTCCCTCCCGCCTCACCCAGGCGGGAGCAGTCATTCGAAGATTTTGCCCCCTTAAAAAAAAGCCTATAAGTCTATATGGTGTAGAATAGTTTATGATATATTAAAAGGTTCAGGTTTATAACAAAGTGCTGCTGCCCGGTCTCTGTCAAATATATGTAGTTCCTTATCCAGCTTACTACACCACCAGGTAGAGTAGGCTTAGTAATCACCACATGGCTAAGCATTTTTCGTGATTATTTCAACACTATGTGATCCAAGGCGTCATGTAGACTTAATCATGGTTACTTAAGCACTACAGCTGCGACCTGCGAACTTGCGGTCCTTCTGCTTGTGTTACAGACGTTACTTTTGCTAACACCGAGCAGTTTTTTGCATACACTTTTAAAGGAGACTTCAGGATTAAAAACTGGCTAAGTTTATAGAATATATGTATCTATTTTTCACTACCTAATGTTAGTGAGAATTATGAAGTGAAACTTTCAGGTATAGGTATAATTGAATCTGCTGTAATTATGAAGTGAAACTTTCAGGTATACAATTGAATCTGCTGTTGCAATCTTGGCAAACGAAGCAGAAGAAAAATACTATTTCATTAATAAAATTTGTTATAATATAAGAACTAACCCAAAGCATTATCATCCCTAAGGCTAACTAGGTATAGGTAAGTGCCTTGGGCGCCAGGTTACTGAAGGGGCGCCGTCAGACGCGCGTGCCTAACTGCCCATAGAGTGGCCGAGGCGCCAGAAAAATAATGTTTTTGTTAATGTTTAATATTAATTGTCCACGGACTCTTGGTCCGTGCCCTTATTATCTATATATATATATATATAAAAGAAAGTCGTGTTAGTTACACCATTTATAACTCAAGAACAGCAGAATAGATTTGGCTGAAAATTGGTAGGGAGGTAGCTTAAAGCCAGGAGACCGACATAGGATACTTTTTAACCAATTTTTTTTTACTTTTTACCGAAAATCACGAACGGGGACAGGGCATTAAGCTGGCGAGCACAACCGCAAATAATAGTTAGTTATACAACCTAACATCACAAAACAAATGTAAACCATAATAAAGGCAATAAATAAACAAATAAAAAATGTCATTCCCGTCTCCTTTTCAAAACTCCGACGTATATTGTCATAATTAGGCTGAATGAGGTCGGTGGCGCTTACCGTTGTTTTTTTCTTAATTTTTTCTACCAAAATGATGAATGGGTGTTACCGTATAAAAAATGGTTTACTGTTCCGAGGTTCCGTAGATTTATTTCTTTTATTTTGTGTGGAAATGTGATGTTATATTTGGTGCGTGAAAAGTGTTAGAAAATATTAATCTATGAAATCGAAAGGCGTAAAAAATAAAATGTATAATTATAAAAGGTATATATTTTTTTTTTATTTATTATATATTATATATTTTTATATATTATTTATTATATAGGTATATGTACATTTACTATCTGAAGTCCGTTATTCCTGTAAGTTTTGAGTACTGAAAAATTAAACAAGAAATACGACAGATGCTTGTCTGTTCGTCTTATCGTATAGTAAATAAATTAATTATTTCATTTGTGTAAACATTTGACGGCATTTTTTATTAATTCGAAGATTTCTCCCATATCTTCATATTTCCTTTGGCCTACAGCACTCTAAACTGTGAATTAGTTTTCGACAACTCCACACTGTTTCGTTTCCGCATATTTGACTGCGGTATGCGATCCCTACATCTAAATGATCTAAATTGCTACAGTATGCGCCTGCGTGGTTGCATATAAGCATTCTGTCAGAAGTTTCATTTCGTTTCGGATTTTTATGCTAGTATCAATTGAGTTTCCTAACTTTGCAAGTTGAAATGTTGTTGAGCGACTTAATAACTGTGTAATATCTTGTACACTTGCTTAATATTGATTTGCACAACAATAAGTCATAAAAAAATAGGTTGATTAGTAAATAGTTCGTCAAATAAAGAAAAGTTAACAGTTCTGCATTAAACAAAATTTTAACGAAAATCGTAAGTATTATTTGAATTTATTTGGTGTATAAACATTTATACTTCTGTTCTTCTGAATCAGATTGCATGCTGCGCAGGAGTCGACGTTGGCATCGTCCATCAATAAACACGTGTACGGATGAACGTAGTTACCGCTTAATTAGTTTATTTAGAAAATGTTTAGAGTAATTGGTGCTAATATAGTTTTTAATTGTTCTGGATTTGGTTGGTGTTATGGTTTTAAAATTGATTAAGCATGACTCGTATAGGCACCTTCTTCCAATCTTCGTTAAATTATATAAACATTTCCTGAATTTAAAGTATAATTGTTACTTTAAATAACATTTTTTTTTATTTATAACCTATTGGTTATAAATAAAAAAAAATCCACCGATACTATATTTAGTATCGTGGGTCGCAGTAAATGATATTGTATACTGTATTGTGGGTGTATATTACAATCATAGTATTAAATATTTTTTCTGCAGTAATCGAACTTAGCACATGTGAGAAGTCAGTCGCCAAGCCATTGCGTCCATTTTGTACAGTCAATTTGTATTGTTTTTTTAATTAGCTATCATACACAGTTTATTAACAGCAAATCCAGGATTGAAAGTAGTCCCGCTGTTGATTAACAAATATTTTAGGAATTAAACTGTCAAACACCAAGCGGTCACCGGTGACCGCGACCTATTGTTCTTTAATTGTGTCTATAAAACCGGTACTAGACGAGTTAATAATGATTCTTTTTAAACGTGAATAAACTATCCATTACTTTCCATAAAACAAGTTGTAGCTAAACTATTGTTAATTGAAGATGTTTGTTTTTTTATTAACCTGAAAATATAGCTTACTTAATTTACTTGCAACTACAAGATAGTTCAAGTTTATGAGCAGGTAACCTTTTGAACTCAAACTCGACACATCCTGTGCAATTAAGGAGTGTGGAATACTTTTACCGAAATAACCCGAATTTTTGTTTATGGCAACAGCAATTATTTTTGTACAAAAAAACGTTAACTGTCAAATATTTATGATGCGGAACTGTGCGGAACCTATAAAGACAGTTTTTGTATGGGTCGGAGGAATTTTCGGTATTCCTTAATGTCACACAAAATTTTTGACACAAAAAGACATACAACTTCACGCCAAGGAATGTAGTTATGTTTGGTTCTGGATTTGGCCAAATGCTGTATGGTCATCTTAATCAAAGTTTTATAAACAACAGTTACCACAACATGAGTTATAAAAATATTATTAAACAAATAACTCATGCAGATTTAAATGAAAAGTCAGTTTTAGTTTTAATGTTAGGTAACAGCTTAGGAGTAACAAGAGGGGACATTGTGAACGGTGTGGACACCTTGTTGAACTTGAACATAGGGAAGATAATATTGTGTGCCTTCCCATATTCTAATACTTTACCACATTCTAAGAACAAATACATAGGTGTACTAAATAATACACTACACCAAATGTCATGTCACAATGACAGACTTTTATTTTTTGACACTAATAAATTTATTAGTACTTTTGTTTTTACAAAGAAAGGTATACACCTTTCAAAAAAATGTCGACAAAAAATTGCTATGCTGATAGCATATAATATTAACACTGTTATACCTTGTATAACAGAAAATAGTTTTAAGGACGAATCTGTGTTGTCTAGAGTGTCTAACAGCACAGAGGCACATTTTAATTTAAGTTTAAACTAGATTTTAAGACAACAGAACATACCTTCATAAATCATATAAATAATAAGGTATATTCTGGCAAGGAAAAAGCACAGAACAATTATACACAGGGGCAGCACAATCTACAATTATTTTATATTAACATTCAGGGCTGCTCCTCAAAAGTCTTTGAATTAGAGATGTTTCTGGAAAAGACTAAATTTGATGTAATTTGTCTATCAGAACATTGGTTTAAGGAGGACCAACTAATATCTTTAAATTTAGATAATTACAATGTAGTTAG